CTGGAGTGGGCTTTGAGAAGAGAGACTTATTCCTATAAATGCGTTTTATATTGACCATTGAGTAGGGTGTTTTCATATTGGTTTCAGGTAGACACAGTAATGTAGTCTCTCTGTGAGTTACTTCAGCTATATTCAATGTTGGTGTTGTGTGTGAGTGCCTCCGTGGGGTAGGCATCAGTGCACTTAGTGATTCCTTGCTGACGTTAGTGACACTGTGTTGGATCATTGAGGACATAGGCTAGCTCTTGAGTTCTTGGGAGAAACACCTGGGTGCACTGTCGTTCTTTGGCTGGGATGGGTGACCCTGGGTGGGCTTGTTGGCATCCCAGCTGGCATCTTGTGACCCTCATGGGTGCTCTGGGGTATACTAGAGCTTGTTAGTTTGAATGTGTGACCTTGGGTGGGGCTTCTCTTTTTTCCTTCTAATAGGCAGATGCTCCTCCTGTGTCCTTGCTTCCCACAGTTGTGGGATGGGTTGGTGGTGGTCAGGAATTTTCTTCCTTACCTTGTTTGGCTTTCTGGCTTTCTGCATTTTCTAGGTGTTCTGTTTGTGTCTCTCCCCAGTTTCATGGGCTGCATATGTACCTTCCGCCCCCAGTGCCCTACCATGGGGAGCAGTATAATTCCCCTTGTAGTTTGGGCCACTGGGTCTTAGGTCTGTACTCACTCTTCTCTTTCTCTGGGCTCCACTGGTGACTCTCCTTGTGTCAGTGCAGTTGAATGGTTGGTTGGTGGTTCATCTGCACGTTGCCAGTGGCTATTGTAGTGGCATTGACTGCTGCAGTGGCGTCAAGCCACCCTTGCTGCAGCAGTGGCAGCAGGCTCCTCTTGTAGTGGTGTTGGCTGTAGCAATGGCTGTGGCAGACCACCTGCATGGCATTGGTGTCTGCAGCAGTGGCCAGCTATGCACATGATGGCGCTCTTGTGCTCCTCCTGTTAGCAAAGGCTGCCCTTGGCTTCTTAGGTCCCTGCACTCCTGCCAGCTGTGAGCAGGGGCTGTCCTTGACTCCTGCTGAGTTGGCAGGGGCTCTCTTCTACTTCTAACATTTTTTTTTTCCTTTCTTCTCGTATTCAAAAGTGTAATTATATTGTGTCTTGGTGTGTTTCTGTGAGTTTATTTCTGCTTGGGATTCACTCAGCTTGTTGAATTTCTAGATTTATGTCTTTTGCCAAATTTAGGAAGTTTTCTGTTATTTTTTTATTTTATGTTTCTTATTAGACCTCATTTTTAAACAGTTTTTGGTTTATGGAAAAATGGTGCAGGAAGTACAGCAAATTCCTCTCTTAACCCCTAATTTCTCTAATTATTAACATCCTGCATCACTCTAGTATATTTATTATAATTGATCAACCAGTATTGATACACTGGTAATATTACTCATCGTTTACATTAAGATTTACTCTTTGTGTTGTATAGTTCTGTGGGTTTTAACAAATGTGTAGTGTCATGTATCCATCATTATAGTATCATACAGAATAATTTCACTGCCCTAACAATGTCCTCTGCTCCACCTATTCATCCCTCCCCACTACCACTAGGAACTCTGGCAACAACTGTTCTTTTTACTGTCTCTCTAGATTTGCCTCTTCTGAAATGTCATATAGTTGGAATTATACACAAATACAGAATAATTTCACTGCCCTAACAATGTCCTCTGCTCCACCTATTCATCCCTCCCCACTTCCACTAGGAACTCTGGCAACAACTGTTCTTTTTACTGTCTCTCTAGATTTGCCTCTTCTGAAATGTCATATAGTTGGAATTATACACAGTGTAGCCTTTTCAGATTAACTTCTTTCATTTACTAATATGCAGTTAAATTTACTCCATGTGTTTGTGGCTTGATGGCTCATTTCTTTTTATTGCTGAATCATATTCTATTGTAGAGGTGGACTACAGTTTGCTTATCCATTCACCTACTGAAGGACATCTTGGTTGCTTCCAAGTGTAGGCATTTATGAATAAAGCTGCAATGAACTTTCCTGTGCAGGGTTTTTTTTTTTGTGTGTGTGTGTGTGTGGACATCAGTTTTCAACTTATCTGGGTAAATATTGAGGAGTGCGATTGTTGGTAAGCCTGTACTTAATTTTGTAAGAAACTGACACAGGGTCTTCTAACGTGACCATATCGTTTTCCATTCCTACCAGCAATGAACAAGATTTCATGTTGTTCCACATTTTTACCAGCGTGACATTATTTCTTCATGTTCTTTTTTAGCCTTGTCCTTTCCTTCTTATCTCAGTTCAGGACTTGGTGGCATGAATGTTAGATTATTTTCTTCTTGTTGACATAGCCCACAGGTTCCTGATACTTTGTTCATTTCTTTTTAGTTTATTTTCCCTTTATAGTTACATTGTGTCATTTTTATTGTTCTGTATTTTGGTTCACTGGTTCTTTTCTTCTCCCCTCCATTCTGCTGTTGAGTCCATCCAACTTGTTCTGTTTCTTTGTTGAGGCTTTCTGTTTCTTTGCTCGGATTTTTGATTTTTTTCATTGTCAAGCTTGTTCGTAATTGCTTGTTGAAGTATTTTTATGATGGCTGTTTAAAGATCTTTATCAGATAATTCTGACATCTTTGTCATCTTGGTGTTGGCATATATTAGTATTTTTTCCATTCAGTTTTATATCTGCCTGGTTCTTGATAAGTGATTTTTCAGTTGAAATCTGGACCTTTTGGATATAATGTTGAGACAACACATCTTATTTAAACTTTCTGTTTTAGCTGGCTTTTTGTGGCAATGCTCATTTAGGGGAAGGAGGAGTTTGGCCTCATTACTGCCAAGTCTAAATGGAGGTCCATATTTCCCACTCAGTCTCTGTTGGCACACTAGGGGGAGGGCTCCTTGTATTGCTGATTAGGGGTGGGAGTTCCAGCTTCCTGCTAGGCCGCCCCTGATTCTGTCTTGACTAGAAGTCATTGGAGTGCTTACTTAATCCTCCCCATGTGGCCTCCACTGACATCAGGAGGAGGGTGGTGGTTTTATTATTGCTGGGTGGTGATGAAAGTTCCCAACTTCCTCTTGTTTTTTTGTGATACCACCAATAGGGTGGTAAACATTTCATTGATGCTGTTGAGAGGCAGAAGTCCAGGTTGTCCAGGTAGTCTCCACTGCCACTGTGTGGTGGGGTCTTGTTTTTGCCTTACTGAGATAGGCCATTCTGGGCCTCTAACTGGCCTGCTCTGACACTGCCCCAGTGTGTGGTTTGAGTGCTTCATTAAAGCCTGATGATGGTGAAAGTTCAGTCTTTCCAGCTGACCTTGCTTGTGTGGTGGGGGTCAAGCCATGGTTTTTATTGTGATATTTGATAGCATATAGTGGTTATTATATAAAAGTGTTCTGTCTTGATAGGCTTACCCTTTCTTGGTCCTTTGGCTAGAGAGAGCAGGCTCGTTGGGGTTTCCTGTCTGTGCCTGTTGGTGTTTCCAGGTCTCCTGCTTCTTCAGCTTCAAATAACAGGTGTATATTAGGCAAAAAGAAAATCTAGGAAATTCACTACTGTGTTGTTTGTTATGTCATAAAGTACCTAGTTGGTCTACCTTCTCTTTCCCTTTCAGAATTTTCTTATTTTTGTTTTATATACAAAGTCCAGAGTTTTCAGTTGTACTTAGGTGGGGGATTAGTGAGAAGTACGTCTCCTCCATTTTCCCAGAAGTGTATGCTGATCTATGTGTTTTAAAGTTTTATCAGTTCTTCCTTTACAGATAACCAACAGTCATCATTTATCTATGGTTACATGAAATTGTATATTTTATCCTATTTTTAGTCTCTATACTCTGCCATATTAGGATCCCTTGTTGGTATAGGTTATCTTTTATTATGAGCCAATATAAAAATGTATTATTGTAGTCCAGCTGTTGATGGCCTTGTGTGGTATAGATCAAGTTTATTATTGGTAGTAATGTGGGCCAAAGAGTATAAAAACACTATATTAGTCTGATTCTGTTGCTTATAGCAAAATACACAGAACTGGGTACTTTGTAAGAAAATGAAATTTTAATTGCCTACAGTTTCAGAGGCTTGGAAGTCCAAAGTCCAGGGAACAGAAGTGGTGAGGGTCTTGGTGATGCAGGGTATCACATCATGAAAATGGTAGAGCAGAGAGATCAGAGAGACAGACTCTCCTTTTCTTTTAAAGCCCTCAGAACCATGCCCCTGACTACCATTTTTAATCCCTTCTCTACTTCCCGGTCCTACAGTCCAATCACTTCTTCAAGGCTGCACCTTTCTATTACCATAATAGGATTTCCCACCCTCTTAACAATCACGGTGGGGGCTAAGTTTATAATACATAAACTTGAGGGACACAATTCAAGCCCAGTGAGTTTTGGGGGACATAATCCACTACAAACTTTTAGGCCATCGTGTTTTATTTGAAGGGAGTTTCATATATCAGAAGAGGGGGTGAAATATTGATTAGAAAACTAAAATGTTTTTTAAAAAAGAGTACACTTTTTATTCGTTAGGAACTGAAATCATATTATGTTACGTACCAAAGTGGAAACAGTTTGGAAAGGGTAAAGGAAGGAATATTTTTAGAAGCTCCCAAACTGATTTATTCTTGTGAGTCTAAATGTTAGCCAGAGTCTGTTAATTGTGTCTTTAGCTCAGAGTTGGATAATCTGTAAATTGTTGGTTAGGTGATCATACTGGTTTTGGAGATAGATGGCAAGTTCTGTACATAATACTATATCCTGAGGATGATTTGGTGGGCCATCTCCAGTCAGTAGCTCTTTCTTTTTAAATATAAAGTTAAAATTTTATTTTTGGAGTGCTTAAGATCACAATTTTTTAAGAGGATAAACTCTGATTGCATATGGGCATGAAATTCCTACCTACTATATTTTGTGCAACTCTGCATTCTTAATTAATATGCAAAATGGTTGCTACATTAGGGGATCTACTATGTTTTCATGATGAAATAAGATTGCTATTTTAGTATATGTGAGATGTTAATTACAATTTCTTTTGTCTAATGGGAAATCTTTTCTCTTTTACAGGGGATCTTTCCTGCAAATTACATTCATTTGAAAAAGGCAATTGTCAGTAATAGGGGGTGAGTAACTGTCCTTACTAAATTTTTAAAAAATGTACATTGTTTTATTGAGACATATTGATTATACATATTTGTGGGGTACAGAGTTGAATTTCAGTGCATGTATACAATGTGTGATGATCAAATCAGGATAACTAGCATATTCATCATTATAAAACATAGTCACTTCTTTGTGATAAAGACATTCGATTTCCTTTCTTCTAGTCATTTGATAAAGTGCAGTAAATTATTGTTAATTATAGATGCCTAGCTTGACTGTACACCAATATAACTTGTTTTTCCTATCTAGTTGTTTTGTGCCCATTGACCAACCTCTCACTATCCCCTCACCCACCTCTAGAAACCACAGTTCTGCTCTCTCCTTCTGAAAGTTCAACTTATTGTTTATATGTTTTTTGTTTTCTTTTAACTCCCACTTATTAAATGAGAACATGTGGTACTTCTGTTTCTGTGCTTGGCTTATTTCCCTTAATGTAATTTTCTCAAAGCTCATGCATGCTGCTATGAGTGGCAGAGTTTCATTCTTTTTTATGGCTGAGTAGTATTCCATTGTGTGTAGATACTATATTTTCATTATCCAGTCATCTGTTGATGGATGTTTAGGTTAGTTACATATCTTGGCTATTGTGAATAAAGCTGTGATAAACATGGTAGTGCAGGTATCATCCCTTTGACATGATGACTTCCATTTCTTTGGATATACCCAGTCGTGGGATTGCTGGATCGTATGGTAGTTCTATCTGTGTTGTTTGAGAAACCTCTATACTGTTTTCAATAATGGCTGTATTAATTTACAATCCTGCCAACAGTGTGGGAGTGTTCCCCTTTCTCCACATCCTTGTCAGCATTTGTTATTCTCTGTCTTTTTGATAATAGCCATTCTAACAGGGTGAAATGATATATCAATGTAGTTTTGTTTGCATTTCTGTGATGATTAGTGATGTTGAGTGTTTTTCATATACCTGTTGGCCGTTTGTATGTCTTCTTTTGAGAAATGTTTATTCAGCTCCTTTGCCCATTTTAAAATGAGATTATTTGCTCTTTAACTGTTGAATCGTTTGAGTTCCTTGTATATTCTGGCTATTAGTGTCTTATCAAAAGCATAGTTTGCAAACATATTCTATTCTGTAAGTGGTATTTTTGCTCTGTTGATTGATTCCTCTGCAGTGCAGAAGTTTTTTAGTTCGATAGAATCCCATTTGTCTATTTGTTTTTCTGTTGCCTGTGCCTTTAAGTCTTGTTCAAAAAAGCATTGCCCACTCCCATTTTGTGTAGCATTTGTGTTTTCTTCTAGTACTTTCATGGTTTTGGGTCTTAAATTTATGTCTTTAGTCCATTTTGAGTTGATTTTTGTGTATGGTGGGAGATAGGGGTCTAGTTTCATTCTCCATGTGTATATCTTTTTTTCCAGCAATCCAGAGCAATCTACAGATTTATTGCAGTGGGGATCCACTTTGCACTGAATCTGTAGATTGCTTTGGATAATATTGACATTTTCACAATGTTAATTCTTCCAATCCGTGAAGGTCTTTCTATCTTTTGATGTCCTTTTAAATTTTTCAGCAGTGTTTTGTTATACTTCTCATGGAGATCTCTCAACTTCTTGGTTAAATTTATTCATAGGTATTTTATTTGTTTGATAGCTATTGTACATGGGCTTGCTTTCTTGATTTCTTTTTCTGCTAGTTTGTAGTTGGAGTATAAAACCACTACAGTTTTTTGTTTTATCAATTTTGTGTCCTGCAACTTTACTGAATTAGTTTATCAGCACTAGGACTTTTTTGGTGGAATCTTTTAGTTTTTCATATAAAGATTATGTCATCTGCAAACAGACAGTTTGAGTTTATCTTTTACAGTCTGTATGCCCTTTATTTCTTTCTCCTGCCTAATTGCTCTGGCTAGAAATTCCAATACTGTGATTGGTAGGAGTGGGGGAAGTGGGCGTTGTTATCATTGTTATAAAGGAAAAGCCTTCAACTTTTCCCCATTCAGGATGATGTTAGCTGTGGTTTTGTCATATATGGCTTTTATTGTGTTGAGATACTTTCCTTCTGTGCCTTATTTTTTGAGAGTCTTCATCATGAAGTTATGTTGAATATTATCAAATGTTTTTTCTGCATATATTGAGATAATCTTATGGTTTTTGTTCTTCATTTTGTTGATGTGATATATAACATTTATTGATTTGTGTATGTTGAACCATCCTTGTATTCCTGGGATGAATCCCACTTGATCATGGTGTATAATCTTTTTGATGTGGTGTTGGATTCTGTTTGCTAGTATTTTCTTGAGAGTTTTTGCATCTAAGTTCATCAAAGACATTGGCCTGTAATTTTCTTTTTTTGTTGTGTCTTTGATTTTTTTTTATCAGTGTGATGCTGGCTTCAAAGAGTGAGGTTGGGATCATGGCCTATGTGTATGGGGGGAGATAGTTTGATTTTTCTGGAATAGTTTGAAAATAAGTGATAATAATTCTTATTTAATTGTTTGGTAGAATTCAGCAGGGAAGCCATCTGGTCCTAGGCTCTTCTTTGTTGGGAGACTGCTGAGTATTGATTCCATCTCATTGCTTTTTCTTGGTCTATTCAGGTTTTCTGTTTCTTCTTCTTTCAGCCTTGGTAGGTTGTATGTGTCCTAGAAACTTATCTGTTTTCTCCAGATTTTCAAATTTGTTGGTGTATAATTCTTCATAGGAGTTTCTAATGACTCTTTGTATTTCTGTGGGATAAGTTGTAATGTCTTCTTATTCACTTCTGATTTCTGGTATTTGGGATATATTCTTTTTAGTATAGGTAATCATTTGTTAATTTTGTTTATCTTCTCGAAAAACCAGTTTTTTGGGGGGTTAATCTTTTATATCATTTTTTTGAGTCTCCATTTTATTTATTTCTGCTCTAATCTTTATTATTTCTTTACATCTACTAATTTTGGGATTGGATTTTTTTGTTTTTCCAGTTCTTTGAGGTGTAAGGTTCAGTTGTTTATTTGAAGTTTTCCTATTCTTTCTATGTAAGCACTTATTACAATAGTCTTCTTTCTTTTATTGTTTTTTTTCTTTTTATTTTGTCAATATACAATGTAGTTAGTTATTGTGTCCCATCACCAAAACCTCCCTCCCTCCTCCCTCTCCCCCCTCCCACCCAGATGTGTCCCCTCCATTTTCTCGTTGTAAGAGCTTCAAAAAAAA